GTGTAGCTGGTTAAAGTGCGGCACTATGAAGCTATCTGCAGCCACTGCAGCACAAGTTTGATCCCCAGCCAGGGAGATGACCCACACGGCATGGCAGACATCTCCTGCCTCACCTGCTGCTCCCCTCAATAGTGTATTTCAGTCGATCTGCCTGTTCTGCTCCCCACTCTGTCTCTGGTGAACTCTCTCATTCACCCTCCACACCTCTGGCTGGGTACACACTCTCTATACCCCAGTTCTTGTATACCTAAATAAATCAATCTTTAGACAAAAAAAAATGTTCCTTGTTTGCTTTCACCTGAAATCCTTTCGCTGAGCCTGGTTCTCGCAGCAAACCTAAGAACAGTCATCTTTATTTTTAATTGACATATATGTTCACCAGATGAAGCACAAAACTGTATTTTAAAAGTGGCTAAAACTTTAGTGATTCGAAGTAAAATAAATACATGAAACCTAACTGAACACACATATAAGCTGTTTTTAGTCACCTTCCCACTGCTTTGCCACATCAGTGATTGGGGCTGGCTTCGCCTTTACATATAGATTTAGGTTAGGACTAAGTATTTTGGCCAACTGTAATCTCATCTGTCGGTGTCTATCTCTATGCATCATGTTAGGCAGGTATTTTATGCACATCAAAATCATAGAAAATAAATGACTTATAGAACAATAAATGACTTCCATATAGAGATGATTTGAGGCAGAGATGAGATTTGAATCCATGTTTTCTTTAGACAAATCTTACTATAAATTATTTTATTTTTTGTAGGTTTTATGTTCTATTAAATGAATCTGTACATAAAAAATTGATATATTTCAGAAGAATAGAAAAACTATTTCTGATAATAAAATCACATTTAAAAATAAATGGCTTGATTTATTAATTCCTTAGTTTAGCAATTATGTTAAGTGAGAAATATGAGCACTTAGGATCAAGATAAACCAATTGTGCAAACTTGGGCAATCAAAAATGTGCAGGTCAGGTGGAACTGTTTGGTTTCATCTTAAAATGAAGAAAAAGACAGATGTAGTTCTCATTTAATGAACAAAGGTGTTTGGGGATAAGGGCAGGTCAAAAGCCTTCCCCTCCCTCCTGCTTCCTTTCTGGTTCTCACCTCTCCCCAGGTAGGGAAGAGGGAGGGACAAGAAGCCCCGACCAGGCAAGGTGGCTGGAAGGCTCAGGCTACCATGACCAGATCCGTAATTTCTGCTTTTTTTTTTTTTTTCTCTTCTTCCCAAGTTAGTCTTTGTAATAAGTGACCTTTAAATAAAAAAATTTTAAAAAAAAATTGTTTTTAGATGTGCCTCACAGGCTAGATAAGTCATTGTTTTAGAGCCTTGTTTTTAACTTACTGTAAAGGGCCTGTTTATAGCAAAATAACTGGAGGCAACAGGCAAGAGATGGGATGGTGGCTTATGGCCCAAGGCACTTGCTTAAGAAAAGGTGCTGTCAAATGAGTGGTTTGAAAAGCTAAGGCTGCTGATGTGCTCTTTAGTGGGTAGAGGATTAAAGGGAATGAAGTTTCCTTCTCTTTTATAAATACTTACTGGAGAGTTAATGGGCTTTTGTGTGCATATGTGTTTCCTTTTCTTATTGGGGAAATTGCAAGTAATACAGGAACGCCCTGTGATGAAATATCTGAAATAAAGACTGAGGAAATAAAGGGATGAAGTAGGAGAAATGTGCACTGGGTCTACAGCACATGTATCATGACTGATCCTGCAGCTCACATTTGTCTATAGATGACTGACTGCACTGTAAATAGAGAAATGTGTGGGCATAAATAAGCAGGCTCTTCCATCAACAGCTTTTAGCATACAAAGCATCCATCCCATTAAAGAAACCATACATGTATTCAAAAGCTTAGGTATTATTTTATTTTAAATAGTACCTGTTACGGGGAAAGGATGTCCCAAACGAATTCTACAGATACAGGTTTTGTGGACTCCACCCCCTACTACAGACACTAGAACTACAACTCCCAGCAACACCAAAGGGAGGACTGCTAAGACCCCAGGGTGGAGGTAAGCAGCCATTTTGAGATGTCTGCCTATAAAGGCGGACATGTTGGGCTGAGGCTCTCTCCCTTGGCCTCCTGGTCGCTTGGCTCTTGATGAGCTTTCAGTGTTCTATTGGAGTTCCAAGTCAGCAGAACTGGTAGGATGCACTAGTTAAATTGTATCTCTCTCTCTTTCCTTGGGTTGTTCCTTTTCTTTTTCCCTTGTAAATAAGCCCATTATTGACCTTTTTGTCTGTGTCTGCAGTGCAGTGTATCTTAAGTGCATGGGTGAGGACCCACAGACAGACAAACCAGTTCATATTGGGTTGCCCTGCAACATACCCACTTTGAAAGGATTCCAGTGACAGTAATCCCAGGTAATCTTGAATACTTGTGTCTGAATGAGCAGCAAAGCCATCTAGAATCACTTAAATGGTATAATGAATGGCTCTCCTGATTCAGTATCTGCTAGCCCCATTGGATGCCTGTCTTAAGATAATGAGAGTGGAAACAATTTAAATCTGAGTTTCCAAACAAAGAAACCCAGGAAAGATCTCCGACTATAATTATTAATTCTGTGAAAGATAGAAATACAGAAATATCTGAAAATACTCAACTTTGGTCTCATTATCCTCTTTTCAAAAGGAAGTTGAAATGTGATACCAAAATTACAATATTGTACTGTTATCATTTTAATTTGCCAGTTCTGGTTTCATGAAATTACATTTTAATAAATATTTTATAACCACAAATTATATTTCAGATTATTTACTTGCTGCCTTTTAGAAAATTGAGTTATTTTCTCCAGAGTTAATGTTTAAGGAGACCTTTTTTTGAGTTTGAAGAAGGTTTTAACAGCAGGGCACCAGAAAGCCCCCCCCCCCCATCCAGCCAGAAGAGCACCAGTGGGCTTGAATCAGTGGGTTCGAGAAGATGGCAGCAGGGATATGGGAGGAACAAAGGCAGTGTAGCCCTGCTTCTCCCTTCCCTGGTTGCTTCCACTGGCAGGAGTCAGTGCCAGGCTGAGCCCATCACTCTTCTCACCTGTCATCCTAACAGCAAAGAACCAGCTGGTCCTTCCAGTGCCAGGAACCCCTGTGGAGATCCCAGTCGCTGCCCTCCCTCTGCTGGACCCTGTTGAAACTTTTTCCCTCCTTCTGCCTCTTTCTGGAAATAACTTTATGGATCGGGCACAGAAAAGAAGATATGACTCTATATTTTCTTATTAAAACCTGAGTCTTGGTACCTGGAGCAGTAGAGATGTCATGGTGTTTATAGGAAAGCACCTAACACATTATAGAGGTTTTCTCCATATCACAGTACCTGCCTTTTCTGAGCCCATCATTTAAAGATGACCTTTGTCCAGCCATATCCCAGCCTTCTCACAGGAAGGAGTAGAGACATAAAAATTTTAATTGCAATGATGCATACATACAGAAAAGTGTATGTGTGCATAGAGATCATAAGTGCATATCCAAAGAAAGCTTACAAGTAGAACTGCTCATGTAACCGAGAGCCAATGAAATCTGTCTCTTTGTAATGACAGTTCTTTCTCAGTTCAAAAACACTTTGTAGTTTTTTTTATATAAATTATAATAAAGTCATAAAAAAAGCTTTCATTGTAGCTACTCCAAAAAAACAAACAAACAAACAAACAAAAAACAATGTTCACTGATAACATTTTGGAGTGTTTTGGCCTGTCTGTCTGTGTCTCCCTCTTGCACCTAGATATGCATGTGTCCGGAAACATACTCACACAGTACCACCTCTGACAGGTCCTGTGGGTGGGCACAGACACCCAGAAGTTATAATTAGTTACACTCACATAACATACAGATTTTTAGATATATTATCAGCTGGTTGTTGGCTTAATTAACAGAATGACCAGGAAAGAAAGTCAAAGAAACAGAAAACTGTATGTCTTATTTGATAGCAGAAAAGTGTGGGAGGAGATGAAAGTAAATGAGTGACAGATACATGTGGTGATTCATAGATTTCCCTTATCCAGCTTTCTCCTCTCTCAGAAGACCAGGCTGGTGATTGGAAGCTGAGACTTCTAGTCAGAGGCCTTCTTGATGCTGAGCAGAGGGGAGCCCTGGATGCAGCGGGCCTGGCTGCTGTGTGAAATGAACCACTCCTGCCCCAGCCCTCCCCAGTTTAATTTTGCCAGAGGCCAGTTTTCCTTTTCTCATTTAATTAGCACTCTCACAGATACCCAAACAGAACCTCAGCAACTCTTGTTTTTCTAAGAGGAAGTGTAGTCCAAACGTTGGCCACTGTCCTGGTAGTTTGAGAGTTGCAGCAAAGTAAATTTCTCCAGCAACACTGAAACGGACAGTGCCTGCCCAGCGCCGCCTGCAGTGTTCTCGCTGTGTCCCTTCACACATTGGCATGATGAGAATAGTTGGCCCCAGTTTCCTGTTACTATGGGTGGTTCAGGCCCCATTGCCCATCTGCCCTCCGGCTGGCGGTGGGCTCAGCTTCAGCGGGAGACTGGATGGGCCCTCCAGTGCTGAGAAAAGTTGTTTTCCCCCATGCGTTTCTTTTTAAGAACGTATTTTCTTATGTCCTGTGATTTGATTCATTCATTGCACATACTGAAACTTTATTGGACTTTTCGAGGTTGTAAAATATCTTTTGGCTGTCTGCCTTCTTCCTTGCTTGTTAAATACTTGTTCACAAACAGTATGAAGTGACCTGTATGTTTACGCATGTTATTGTTGTATTGTCTTTGCAGTCGAAATCAGCTGTCTGCCCTACCAGCCTGCCTGTGTGGTCTGCCTCTCAAAGTCTTAATTGCAAGTAACAACAAACTTGGATCGCTGCCAGAAGAGATAGGTCAGCTCAAACAGTTAATGGAGTTGGTATGTTGCTGATTTTTTTAAGATGCTCTTTTTGTTTACTAATCATGGCCTGTCAAGGTATAGACAGACATTTTGTTAGAGCTGGACCAGGAAGAGCCTGTGTTGTTGGAGGACTGTGTGTGATGAAAGCATGAAGTGGGGAGAAGAATGGCAGACACAGTTTCTAAGTTGAAGCTTTGCTGTAGTTTACAGGAAAGAGAGTTCTTACAGGCTACTAGGCTATAGTTAGACTATTTCCCCTCCCCAGATCGCATGTATTGGTGGTAAACTTAGTATGTTTACCACCAATAAACTGGTAAAAATAACATCCAATTAAGAATGTATGCCAGATTTTATGAATATATGTAATTAAGTCAGAAGATGAAAAGAACAGAGTACTCTAATTCTGTCAGGATTTTGGTAACCATTGCCTCAAATGGACATGACTTTAAAAGGTGACCATATCCCCTAGGATGAAAAAGAAGTAGTTAGGATGACAGAGATGGGTTGTAAGTGGAATTTGTGCCGAAAGACTCAATTCCATGCTTCCATTGCCGACTTAATCACCTTATTTCTAAAATGGGTAAGAATGAGTCCTTTTTCTAGGCTTCCACTGAGCTATAAGGTGGATGAAGAAAAAGGATGAACCACCAGGCTAAACTGTAATCGTCATAATTTATCCTCCAAGGGGGCCTTGTTCCACACTGGCCTTGTGTCAAGCACAGCACAACAACCAAGAAAAGGATACAACTGTCTTTCAGTAGGATCCCAGTCTAGAACATTGATATCCAGTTACCAGTTACATTGACATCCTGTGTCAAATTAACGCCAGTTAATTTCTTTGGGACTACCTGGAGCACCATGGTGATGGCCTGTGAGGCCCACACCTAGTGCTTTGACTCTTGGTTGTGCCTGTAGCAGAGATTGGCTGGGAGAGTGATGACATGACAATACCCAGGCACATATGTATCAAGTCAAGTAATCTTGACTTTGATATAGAAACAGAAAATTGCTGGATAAAATTATTAGAGCTGTAATATCTGAACCTTGGGTCAGTTAGTTCAAACTAAGAGTTGGGAGTGATACTTCAGAGGATTTCACATTATTCTGTATCAGGACATCAATCAGGGATCTTGAGTGATTAGAAGACACCAAGAAAATCTCGAGGTCCAGGACAGTGGTTTTTTTCTTACACAGCCTTCTGTACTCCAAAATAGTGGAAAGGTTGCCTAGCTCACCGATCCAAGTTAAAAGTCCTCTCAGCTGAAGCTCCTGTCATACACCCACCAGTGTGTCTCAGCTCCTATTTCTGACTGAAAGCGGCAAGATCTGGGTCTGACATCCTGTCCTGAGTCAGTCTGCGTTACTCCAGTCGTTTGGCTGCCACCAAGGGAAGCAATTCTAAAAGATGTGTGCAGACGCCCTCTCTCCCCTCAACATCACTGTTACAAAGCGCATGTGAACAGGATGGGGGAAAATTAATGTGGCCCAGGGGCTGGAAACGACTTGTAAGGGAAGAGAGAGGCCCTTTACATCAGTCTATATGGGGTTTCCTGGATAGAAAACAGAAGGTGGGGCTATGGACGCTGTCCTGAAAGCCTGGACAGCCTGTGCGAAGGAGGGCGGGGAGTAGACTGCACGCCTGCGGGCAGGGCAGTAGCTTTATTCCGCCGAGGCTAGGTAGAGGGGGCTGGGAACGCCCTCTCACAGCCTCTGAGATCTTTTGGCCACCACGGGCTCCTCTACAGAGTCTCCAAGGCCCTCTGTGGTCTGGCTTTATCACCCTGTAAGTTACGGCCCTCGGGGTGGCATCCTGTTCATAGCCACTTCTCGATTTTGTACTCATCTCTTTTTCTGCATGGACTGATTCCTCCTCTTTTCTTAGTCAAAATAGATTTTGCCTTTTGCAGCTCTTTCAGCTGAAGTTAGTAGTTCCTTAAGCAAGTACTCTATACCATTTATTATCACTGAATTTCCATGGAATCACATTTGTCTTCTGAATTGCCTTTCTCCATGGCAGCCTGCTCTCACTCACCTTGGAAGTCGCTCAAGGACAGGCATGGCTTCTCCCTTGTTGTACCCCATGCATGATGCATGATAGACATCCCACAAATGCAGAATTGCTGAACGCTGCTGTCAAGTGGTGGGAAGTGGTCCATGAAGGTAGTTTGGGACAGACTGTGAGAACTCCCAAGATCTGGGAGGGTAATGGGAGGGAATGCAGCTCCATTTTAACTGGTTCCAGAAACCAAAAATAAACAGAATACAAAACTGATAGTTTAAGTGTGTGTGTGTGTTCACGTACACACATACACACACATATGTACACATATGTATACACACATCTGTGTATATAAGTTTTATGTGTGTGTGTGTGTATATATGTATACACATACACACGTTTCTTTTAGAGGTCTGATAAGTCACATAGTTCAGGTTTGTTATAATTTGGACTCAGTCTTGCAAACGCACTGAGAATAAAGCTGTCTTTTTTCTTTCTGCTTCTTGGGCTCCCAGGGATAGATGGCACATTGCTGAGGTCAGCTTTCTGGAGCCTTCTGGCAGCCGGGATGTATTTCTGTCCCACTGTACTCTGGCCTTAAGCCACCGGCATGCCATCCATCAGCTGTGCCACTAAAGCTATGGGACAGCTCTCCTGCTAGTCGGTGGCTCATGCGCCCAGCCCTTGAACCAGGCCCCCCCTGGGAGGGCTTTCCTCAAATACTCTCTGTCAGCTGCTGGCCTGGCACAAGGCTGAAGTGGAGCAGCCCTGTCTCCAGGCTCAGACAAGCTCCTGGTGGTTGTAAAAGTCACCCTGAGCTTTTCTCAGGCCACCTGTCTGGAGCCCAGCTCCAGCGAAAGGCTGCCCTGACTCTTCACTACAACACCACCATCAAATATTCCTTGTGTCTTTTCTCCAGCAATAAGCTACTAAACCTTTGAGGCCTAGAATGTTAATGCGGGTGGGGAGGGGGGAGAAGGGTGGTTTGAAAGGTATCTAGTCCAAGCTTTTCACATCTTACACAGGAAGAAACCTAAGGCAGAGAGACAGTGGGGCAGGAGCAGAAAGTCCTCCTGGAGCACCTAAAGTGTAAGCTCAGCTAAACACTACACCCCCAGCGCTGTTCCATGGAAGGAACAGTGTGATTTTAAATAGAATGATAACTACATTTTTAAAAAGAAGGAAATGAAATTCATTTCGGTAATACTTTGTTTAACCCAATATAACCCAAATAACATTCCATTATGTTTACAATATAAAATCAACATACAATACCTACTGTTTTCACACTCTGTCTTTCAGCTCCAGTGTGTATTTACACTGGTGGCACCTCACAGGTTGGATGAGCCACATGCCTCTCTGGCCGGCACCACTTGTTGCTGTGACCTTTCCACTCTGTGGACCCACCTGTGTGGGCAAGCATGGTCTTTGTGAAAAGCATATACTTTTAAAGTTGGTGAAAATTTAATTACCATTAGTTAACCACAAGTAGTGACTAGTCTTAAGTTCAGAGATTAAAGAAAATATTTTATTGACACTTATTTTTTATCTATTCTTAAAATATTAGTATAGGTAATCATACTAGATGACTTCTAGTTTCTATTGGAAAAAAATTCCCTAGAGAGCCTGAAGTAATTATAGAATTGTGTAGGAGGCATCTGTTTTGTAGTTGCTAGTAACCAACTTGTTAAAAACTTGGGAGTCCCCACTATTCAGAGTACTCTAAGCTACCTCAGGGCCAGTAAAATCTCGCAGATTCTTAACTTGAAAATTGTTTGATTTTGGAATTAAAAATTTTCAATGTTTACAGTGTCCTAAACAGATTCAGAAACTCTTCTCCCAAGAGTAAGCATTTCAGAATCAACAAAACCAAAAATATCATAGCTATCTACACGAAAGAAGTTGCCCCTTCTAGATTTTAAGAGGAATTTACTCTGGGTAGCAGAATCTTAACTGTAAGTATGTCACAATTATCTAAGACTTAAAGCATATATGGGACAGGAAGATTCCCATTCAGGGATCAAACTTGTGTGTCCATTTGTACGGGAGCATGGAAACACTGTTCCTCCTTCCATGAAGAAACTCCAGTGAGGTGTCCTTTTCTTGAATCCACAAGAGAGACCAGGATTAATTTCCACATTGTTTCAGGTGCAGAGTTTACAGAATCTGAACTTTCTTGGGCTAGTTCCAGGAAGGCTATTTCTGTGGCATTGATCTAGAACTTCTAGCTTCCTTGACATCTCTGAATTATTTCTCTATGATGTGTCTCTTTGGAGCTGTAGCTGTATGTATGTGGTACTTTGTTAATTTGTGTATTTCTGTGTGCTTTCTATAATAGGAAGAGATAATGCACTGATATTTACTAACTATCTATTATATACCAGGCATTTTATTAGGCCCATTACATATATTATTTATATAACCCTGACAGTAACCAAGAGAGGTAGATATCATATTACATTTCACCGACAAATTTTAGTGTCAGGATTACTTACCCTAAGATGTGGGGACTACAAAGTGGAGTTGGGGTGAAGACCAGGTTTGTCTGTTGACTGTCAAACCCTTGCCACAGCACAACACAGCCTCACTCACTGTCGCTTCATCTAAATTATAAGCCTTTCTGGAGAGGGGACAGAATAGAAAAAATATATATTTATTTTTATTTATTAATGCATATAAAAACTGGGGTGTAGGCCAGAGTAGGGGGGTTGAGAGGCTTCATCAGTGACAGGATGGAAAACAGAACAAGCAGATATACTGAAATATACTGCTGAGGGGAGCAGCTAGCCAGACAGGAGAGGTCTGCTGAGCTATGTGGGTCAGCTCCCTGGTGGGGTATTGAATTCATGCAGCAGTAGCTGGCAGTGGCTTGAGAGTGCTGAGACTAGCTTTTGCATCACCAGGGAGACCTCAGAATTTCTGTCTTTGGAGTTCTCTTGCATTGGTCTCCCATTAAAGCTGTGGCCAACTGTAAACATCTGAAAGTGAATCAGAGTGTTACAAAAATAGTATGTGGCGC